TACCTCCCACTTACCTGGGTACCACGTAAACACCTCACAACAGATCGCGATGAAGGAGGTATGCTCTGGTACCAAATTGTAATGAACCCAGATTGGAAGATACTCGTCAGATGTCGAAGTACAAGTTGACTCAGATCTGCACAATGTCTCCAGTAATCGTGAAAGTGATATCTGATACAATGTCTTGTTACCAATTGACGAAGAGAGTGGAGGGGGAATAGACAAACGAGAGGGTGGAAGAGATAATCAATGTCCACTAAAAGAGTAGCCCAAACATTACCCACTCCTTCCCCAAGTTTCTCCATGTCATCAATCAATATCTAGTAACAAGTCTGACAAGTCCTGATCACATAGAAGTGCCACGTGGCACTGTCATCTCGAGGAGACAATGAAGACAAACAGCAGTGCACGGTTTTGACGTCAACCTCAGGTGAGTACCACTTCCCCAATCACCCACAGATCCCGATCTCCCTCCTTGTCGCAACCAATCACCTCATGTAGACAGCGTGGCCAGTGCCACGTCAGCAATAGAGGCAGGTGGCTTGCGCCACATCAGCAATGAAGACAGATGGCCTGCGCCACATCAGCAATGTAGACAGGTGGCATGCGCCACATCAGCAATGAAGACAAATGGCCTGGGCCACATCAGGTGGCATGCACTACATCAGCAATCAAGACAGGTGACACTTGTCACATCAGTAGAGGCTGGCGCTCAGCAGAGATGGTGCCAGCATGCTGCCACAATCTCGCGTCATCGTCCACAGTGCCAGTGCACAACCAGCGTCAAGCCAGCGTCCAACCAGCGTCGAGCCAGCGTGATGCCAGCGTCCAGCCAGTGTCAAGCGGTCCAGGTTTCTTTATCTGACTGCTCGGCGGCTAAAGATTCAAAATTGGCAGACGAGGTTGGTGCAAGAATTTCAAGTTGGGCGCGTAAATTTGAAACTGACACTCTTTGGGCGCGCCCTGGTACTTACCTCTGCTGCTTTCTCTTTATTGTGATTCCCTCTCCCAGTTCATTTGTTGGGGGAGGGTGCCTACACCTGTATCAATAGAGATGCTACCCGATATCTATGGAAGCCGGCAGCTGCTCTTCAGCAGGGATTCATATGGAAAGTGGCCTGGGAAACCATATCGGCTGCAAAAACACAGGGCGGCCTAGGCCTCCTTGGTCCGGTCCACCAAAATTTGGCTCTTCTTAGTAAGTCGGTAATATCTGCAGCCTATGGCCCCTGATCGAAATTATGGGTCCGCTTGGCTGAGTATATCCTTACTAAGGAATGGGGCCTGTCGAGATCGGAGGATGTATGGCTCTGTTTCTTCATCCCGTCCTTCTCAGCAAGGAAACCAAAATCAAGAATATGGCGTAACATTCTACATGCTTGGCACAGACTGTTCCCTGAGGTTCTCCGTCTGCCAGAAACCAGCAGGGACGTCCTGAACCAAATATTATTTGAAAATCCTTTTATTAAGTCTACAGTCAACTCCTCGCTTAAAGCTGATGGGAGTCCAGGTTCTTTCAGTAGGGCATGGACAGAGAAGGGGGTGGTACAGATTAGAGACCTATGGGATGAGGATCTGGAGACCTGCCTTCCACTGGACAGGCTTAGACAGAAACTGGCTAGACTGCATAACATCGAAGGCAACTACGAGACATTGCTGAATGCCATTCCGGGCTACTGGACAGCTCTACTACCTAAGTCAGTTGAGCATGGCCCGGGGGCCTGGCTGCTGGACCCCGTTGACAGTCAGGAGATCCTAAGGGTAATAGGCCCGGACCTATCATATGGCACAAGGGTGTAAGCCTGGAAACGGAAGCAGGGGGACTCTGCTGAGACCCCACTTATTAAAGGAGAAGACAAGACGATTCCCACAATGATGGATTTAGTAGAATGTCGTGTCCTCCTTAAGCCTACTGCAAAGCAAGAAGTTTCAACGATTCCACCTGATGTGGATGGTAGATATGACATTGACTGCACTGTAGATCAGGCTGAACTTAGAACCAGTAGACGGCGACGGCCAAGTCAACAGTTTAGACTCTAGAGTTAGATGGCAATACCAAGAGCGAAAGGAGGATAGGTGGTTTCCCAAAGAACAACTGTGGGAGACCGCACCTCACATAGTCTCGCATTATAAGCAACCATCCAGGAGATTCATGAGTTTGACAGGTAGCTACTCCTGATGCTGTCATCGTCATTTCAACCTTACGAACCATTTTTAAAGCAAAGTCTTGATAACCATCTCAGATTCTGGCAAACGAGAGCAGCTCATGGCAAAGAACCACCGCAAAGTTCCTATGGCCTTATAGGCATCGCTGATTTCACAAGGAAGCTTTACCTAACTGAAGATGTACTTCTCGTAGGGCCTCGAATTAAGGCCGGCGGGAGAGAAAAAATCCACGTGCTACTGAAGTTTGGCCCCGGTAGCATGCCCAACTTTCTTTTGTACCTTAGGGCCAAAGATTAACTTTTCAGGTAGGTACTATACAGAACGAAACAGAGATCTTAGAGGAATGACCGGTAGGAACAGTAGAGGTTCCTAGAAGTCAGTAGGTAGGGAGTCGCCACATGTCCAGTCCCGGTCCCATTGCAGCTCGGTCCCAGGGAGAGGCCATGACAGACCGAATCTCTGTTGGCCTGCCAGAAAAGACCGGAATCACATGCGAGGCAAAGGCACCGGAACAAAAGGGAGGTGAACGTCTTCAATTCCGTCAGATGTGGAAGCGATGCTGCGTTGCTGGGCGTCAAGATCTTGGAGTGTGAACGGTGCCAGGAGAGATGTAGTTGATGGCACTGGACACCATAGCTGGGAGCTTGCATAGTGGAGACAGAGAGAGAGAGGAAGAGCAGCAAGGACATTCAGAGAGTGATCACAGGACCTGGGTGATCTAGCTACTAGTAGTAGTAGTAGGAGGAGGAGAGAGAGTGTGGCATACTCCGTACCACACGGGCCCAGCAGAGCCTGACCTGGTAGAGTAAGGGTCCGTCGGGGTAGAGCCTGTTTCGTTTCAGCCTAGAAGCCTGAAACGAGGGCCTACAGGACCTGCATCGTTTCGGCCTCCAGCCTGAAAACGACGGGCCATTTTCAGGCCCTCGCAAGATCGACCTACCCTGAAACTCAGGCACCAGACCGGGGGTTTAGCTCGGGCCATTGGAGCGTCAACCCCAGGGTCTGGCACGTTTTGGCATAGGCACGAACAGCCTCCCGGACGGGCCAGCACTATATAAGGCTGACCCGCCCTGTAGGCTGCAGGCAGTTCGCAGGCATCACGGGCAGTCGCGAGGCAGTTCCCAGGAACTTCCCATGCACCTCACGTGCCGACGGCAGGAGGCAGTCTTCAGGACTCGGCAGCGGCACTCTGGAGGAGTAGGAGCGGTAGCAGTAGTCTTCAGCGCTGGGCGCTAGTAGGGAGAGAGAGAGAGATGGTTGGCGGAGGCCAGGGAGACTCACCTGCGGTGCCATAGCTCCAGCTTCGTCTTCGATGTACCTGCAGCAAGGCGCCACCTTTACATAGTATCGGGGGGAGAGAGAGAGAGAGAGAGAGAGAGAGAGAGAGAGAGAGAGAGAGAGAGAGAGA